GCCGCTGCTTTGAGAGCAGTGTAACACTATGTGCATCCTGCTGCATGGCGACTCATTGCCAGACTGCTGCCCACCCATCAATGGGACACACGTGGCCATCGCGCTGTGCTCAAAGCAAGCAGCGGCAGTGAGGTGCAGAGGGTCTGAATGGCGAGGAGGGATTGTGTTTCTGTGCCCGCTCCCAGAAGCAGGGCCAGGGGGCAGTGGTGTCCATCTGCGGGACACACAGGCACCACCAGGCCAGCTGGATGCAGAATGGGGGGACATGCATGCACCTGCTGCTGCCACTGCCTCCATCATCTGCTGCCACCCACTGTCCCAAGTCGCCGCCACCATCCACTGCCCTGTGCTGCCACCACCGGTGCCCAGCGCCCCACACTGCCACCACTACTTTCCCACTGCGAGTCGCATGTGTGGCTCTGTGGGCTCCTAACAGGTCTTGCGCCTGGCTAGTTGCATGCTGCCTGTCAGCAGCCCGTGGAGGCACACATACAACTGGCCATGGGAAAGCAGCATGGAGTGGTGGTGGCAGCTGCTGTGTGCGACCACCCCTTGCAGGGTTCCCTGCTTGCTGGGCAACGAACCTGGAAGTGGACTGGAAGTACTTCCAGGTCCCCTGGGGAGTGCACAGGGGGCCCCCCAAACCCCCACCCTGGAGATCGGCCACGGGGAGACCCCGGGTGCCCCACCAGACCCAGGAGGCACCAGTCGCCAAGCAGGGGCTGAGTGTGGGGAGCCTCCAAGCACACTCCCCAGCAGACCCAGAAGTGGAGTGGAAGTGCTTCTGGTCCACTTCTGGGTCTGCTGCCGAGCGTGCTGGGGAACCCCCACCCCCCCGCACTCCTGTAGGATGCTCCATCCACCCCAGCATCTCAGTGTTGACAAGCCACCTGGTACCTTGAGGTATGTAGAAAAAACATTTAAAGCTGTGTCTGTGTCCAAATTGCTGAATCTTTCCGAATTGATTCAGAGGGATCTGATTCAATTCGGAGAGATTAAAGGGTCTCCCGGCTCAATTCATAGATTCGGCCACTGAATCAGGCTGAATCTCTGTCGAATCAACTGAAGCTACTTACTGTCCTTTTTGTACTTCTGAAAATAGGAAAGAAGTCTGTTCCCAGCCAATGCTTTTCAAAGATTGTTCCTAATATAAAAATCCATCTGAGATGCTAAAGTATTTAGTAGTTGCAAGGGGCTGTAATACTGGAGTGGCAAGTGCCATAGAAAAACCTATAACATATGTAAAATTGCATGGACAAATAAGAATGCATTACCTTCTTTTACATCTTCCAAGAGGTGAATTCTTTTAACAAATAAACCTTAGATTTCTCCCATCTTTACTCTGAATTTATGCTTGGACCATAAGTAATGTCACAGTATTGCTTATCTAAAGTCAGGGTGTTCAAGTGGCAGCCCACGAGGGATTAAGTCACAGCCCCTGGGCTTGTAATCCAGGCAGCCTTCCTCCTGTCGCTGTACTGCTGTTTCTACCCGAAGTCTCTGGGCTCCCCCTCCCACCTCCAGCTTCTACTTTCTGCCCCTACCCATGGAACTGTGTGGCCCTTGAATCCCTCGGCTCTTATGTGGTATAAGGATGTCTACAGCACAGCAAAGTGCAGCACAGTGAGGAGGTGCCTACAGGATGGCACTGTAGCGAAGGCACCCATACTGCACAGCACTTATCCAGGTGGTATCTGCTGGGGGGTGCAGTCAGTTGCTCAGAAGTTAGACAGCCCTGATTTACAGCTGTGTTTACAGCAGGGTGACAAACCCATAGTATGCACACAGCAAGTGGCAAGAGCAGCCTCTGCATATGGTACACAGCACAGAGGGCAAGGAGCAGAAAGCAAAGCAGATCTGGCTGGGGAAGGGCATCAGGATGGCACAGTGTGGGGCTTAAGTTATAGTACACTTGCCAAAAAGATCACCTCAACTGACTTACACTGTAGACTGCCTTAAACTGCTTTAATCCATCTAGATCAGGTACCAGTATCTGCCTTGCTACAGCTGCACAGAATTTTTGGTGTAAATTTTGAAATTCCTACCAAACATTGAAAGGTTTAGGAGAGCAGGTCATGAGTTTCTCAGGATAAACTAGATTGCACAGAATTATGTGTTGCTACAGCTAAACTGCTTCCCATACCTTAACTAGCTCATTTTTCAACGCAAGTATCTATCTCTATACACTATTGCTGTTTGCAGTGCAGACATACCCTAAATATGGATGTTCGAATGTTTGTTCCAACCACTGCAAACTAAAATGAGTAACATGGAAGTAATATGGTCTCTGGGCACATTCTCAACATCATTACATGCAAGTTAATTGTGTTCTTGCTTCTGGGTGTTCTGTCTGGCTCTGAATTCACTTTAAACATTGTTTTAGTTTCTTGAACTTTTAGCCTTTCTTATCTTATACTTGGCCAGTCACAGAAGACAAATGAGAAAAGCACTTGCAGAATGTAACCTTTGATTTTACTTACAAACACACACACATTATAGTACCTCCATGCTACCCCAGTGCATGACTGCACTCAGACCTGCCAGAGGGGCTGTGCGGAAAAGGCAATTCAATCTCAGCCTATATTATGTTTGTGGAACTGCACAAGGTGTGAGGTCTTCCCAGACTGTTCCCCCATCCCTGGCTGCGTGGACCACAAACCTGCAGAATATTCTCCAGCATTGAAGTTGGAGAGGAAATTGCCAGTTCAGTGGCTGACTTCATATTCCCATGCAAAGACAGAGGTCCACAAACAGACCTGGGAACTGTATCCCTTGTTAGCATAAACTGATGAAGCACCATTAAATTCATAAGAAATCAAGTAATAGACAGCAGGGGAGAGAACTAAGCTGTCTCAGAAGTTGCCCTCCACACTTAGATCAAGGTGAGGACTTTCCAGCCCTATATTCCATACAGCTTTCCCAATGGACTGTATTTCTGGTCTTCTCAGTTCACCGCATGAAATTTTTTCCACACTTCACAATTTGTATTAGTAAGTGTAGCTAAAATAATTTCTGATTTTATGGAACAAAAGCCATGCAGTATAATGAACTGGGGCTTGTGCTGTCATTGCATCTTTCCAGGTCCTGGGGCTAAATTCATAATTTCATAGTTTCATAGGTCAGAAGGGACCTGAGAAGATCATCTAGTCCGACCCCC